ATATAAAATTAGTAAAAAAATACATGTAAAAGTAAATCATAGAAGAAAATTTTTAAATTGGGGTAATAATAATAATAATAATAGAGGTAAAGTTTGGTAGTTATGATGGCAACAACGAGGTGAGTTGGTCCCTTAGGTATCCCTACAAGCTTTAACTCTCTGAGTCAGTTATGAGACTAATCTCAAGTCGGGGCTTAGCCATAGTTGAAGTTCATAAATCATTCCCAAAGAAGTATTTGGTGGAAATCGAACGCCTCCTCACTCTACTCAGCTTGTGTTGCCAACCCAATTATAGGTTTTAGTTTTTTTTTTAAAAGAAAAAACAGTATTTCAATTTCTTTGCTTATTTAATTTTTTCAAGATGCTTAATTTAAGTGAGAAATATTTTTTTTAGAAAAATAACTCGCTCTGGGTAAAAAAGCCATCTAAAATGTAATGGACTCTTAATTGGATTCATTGAATTTAAGAAGGGAAGATCCAATATCAGTAAGTCTAGAAACATATCGAGCTGAATTAAATTAGATCTAATATAAGTTTGACTTATTAAAAAATTAAACTTTTTTTTTTGTTTCAAACTCGTTTACCTTTGATCGATGAGTTATTTATATTCAATAAATTAATATTAAGTTTTGCATTAATTAGTTATTTTCATACAATGAATTAGGCTGTTTGTAATTTCACAACGTCTATTTTTTGCATGTATAAATAGTTTAGTAAAATTAAAAAATAAATACTAATATGTATTGAAATAAATTATTATTTCTATGCTTAGAAAAATCTCTGTATATTTATATAATGAAAATATATAAAAATTTAAGTTTAAAATACTTATGTTAAACTGTAAAATTTACAACTCAATTCATGCCAAGAAACACTAGTTTGTTTATTCTTTGCACTTTGATGATTTGTTGTACCTGCAAAGTACAGTACTGCGCTATGTTGTCGATTTATTCTGTCAAGTTATCACACAAATATTTTTTAATAAATAATATATTTAAAACTTTTTATAATTTCTAATAAATAACATGTATGATTTTTTGGGGAAAAAAGTATTCAAACAAAAAATAGCTACTTAAGTGAACTTATTATAAATTTGGCAATAAAAAAATTTCCGCAGCATGCAAAATACGAGATAGTTAATTTTGAATATGATTTCTTTTTTAAGATTTACATAGCATATTCGCAGAAAACTGCACTAATATACTTTTATTTGCATCGATTTTTAATCAAAATATTGTATGAAATACATTTTCGTGCAAAATTCACACACACAAAAAGAATGATGCGGAAAAAAAATTAAATCAGAGCCTATACTTGAGGTTTTTCTCTTGTTTTTTTTTTTTTTTTTTATAAAAAAAGCCCCAAAGATCCGGTGATTAGAACTGTGACCCAATGGTAACTTTATGGACTTGTCAAGTTGGCCCAATTCAACTTCGCATTGCTAAGTGTTTTCTTAAAACCACCTCAAGAATTTTCGCCCATTTACGAGGGTAAAGCTTTACCAATGTTTTTTTTTTTTTTTTTTCATTTCACAAGACACAAAATTTGAGACTTTCTTAAAGAAAAAAGAATTCCTTGCCACTTCAAACAACATACTTTTATATTCTCATTTGAATTATTTTAAAATGTTATTTTAGTTCTTTTAATTCAAATTGCGAAATATGCAGGATCTGAGGCAGTACTAAGATTGCGGATGTGTCTCTTTTGGCCTATATTTCAGTGATGATCACTGTTTACATGTGCACAATTGATTCCCAAGACTAAAATGTAAATATGATTCAAGAATGTCAGATATCAAGCTCCTAAATACATGAGTTAAAGAAGGCGATGACAATATATTTAAAGGAATAGCATGTGAGCCTCGATTAGATCAAAGGTCCATATCTATCTATCTTGTTTATTGATTTTATTTTATTTTCAGATTTCCTCACTGGTTAATCGACTAATCCAGAGGAGGGCAGGTAGATCACAAAGGCGACAAAACTTTCTTTATCAAGTTTTTATGGACGAGCTTCCAAAAAAAGTGTTTTTATGCCTTGTTTATTTTAGAAGTATTTTCTTACAAAAGCTAAAGCTATTTAAATTTTTTAAAAAATATTTGACTTTTGAATTCTATTTGTTTTAGAAGTTAAAATTTTTAGCTTTAAAAAAAATAGAAAAGCATTCTGTGGCCAGTTCTTTATCGCTTTGTGCGCTGACCCGGGGCGAGGGATTAGTCTCATGACTATCGGCTGTGGAGATACCCGGATGTAATCCAAAAAAATAGATTTTTGACTTTTTTTTTATGACTTCGGTTTTTTTTTAAAGCAGTTATTCAAACAATTTTTTTTTGAGAAAAGCTTTTTTTTAAAAAAAAAAAACAACTTTTGGAGAGGAAAAAACTCATTCAAAGGGGCTCTTAATATAGTTATGTACCCAAAATTTGAGCTCAAAATTACTGATTAAGATGGAACAGTCCTTTACAAATTAATCTACGTGTTTGGTGATGTTTATTGATCTTAAATATCTTAGGAATTACCTTGCATTCGCATCATGTCATTACAAGTTACAACCCTGAGACTATAACGCGAGTTCGATGATTAAGATTTTGTACAATTAGGATAAAAATGTACAAGGAATTTTTGTGTTGGTGATTTCTTCTTCCTTGTTTGGGTTGGAACAAGAATTTTGTATAATATGGCTCTGTTCTGTTGGCTGCTATGCTTTAGTTCCCATTTAAGCTTGATAAACTTTTATTTACCAGTTATAGGTCTCTTCTATACTCTTTTTCTACCTTTATTTATTTGTGCGCGTGCGGGATTCATATGCTCATTTTTTTATTGAATATATGTTTAGACTTATTTGTATTTGTTAATGGGGTTGTGGGGTTCTTTAATCTTAATGACAGTCCTGAAGTTAAAAAACAGTTGGGTTGGTTTGAATAGACATATTACATTGATTTACACTCGATAACTCAAAAAAAAATTGGCAAATTCTTCATTTAATGATTCACCTACGCGTGATATATTAGTTATCAGGAAGGACAGGCAGAACACAAACACAAAAATGATATGATATGATATTGATATGTGGATGCGGTATATTTTAAAAATTACAAGGGAGAACATGATTAAAATATAATATATAAACAATAGAATATTAGTATAAAAGCATAAATCTTAAATTAAATTAAAAATAATAATGTTTCATAATTTAGCGTTAATTATTTAAAATATAATAAAATATTACTATTCACCTAATAATTTATACTGCAGCATCGGTAATTATATTTTTAGCTGGGCCATCCTATTCCTTATGGAAGGTGGGGTATACAGAATTAGAGATCAAAATTCAAAATTACCTGTATGGTGTGGTTCATGTGAACTTGAATTTTTTTTAAGATGACTCCAAACGAAAATTATTAACAAATGGACTATATTAGCTTTTGCACATTTTTGCAGTGCAAACTTCATCCACAACTTAAAATATTCAGATGCCATCATTTTCATTTGTACGGTGTTTCATTGAGGACGGGAAATTATAGTAGTAGTAGAGTGCCAAAAATAATTGATGGTAGTATTCGATTTAACAAACAAAAGTAAAATGATAACTGTTATGGAACTATATAATGCTCATATATTCAAAGGTCTAATAAAAGACAATCACATAAATTAAGAAAGAATTCTATTAATAATGATAATTCTATCATGACAGCTACAATCAGATATTAGGCTCATGAACAAATCATTAAAGACCCTACCAGAACTCGATTGTCTACAGACAAACTCTATAAATAAGAGATAAAATCTACATATACGAATCAATCTCTCTATTACTATTATGTTGTAAGTGTGTATACATATCACTTTTTTGCTAACGCTATAATATCTATGTAGAGTGATATGGAGAAAGTCCTTGATCTAATAATAACCTACTAGCCCTTTGGCTAGACACCTCTACAGAACAACAACACACCCAGTCTTATAATTGCAGTCTAAAGAAACTTATTAATTATGTTATTTTATCTCTTTGTTCAAAAAAATAAAAATAAAAAAACGAACCCTTATCGCTACTTCCCCCCTCCCTCTCTTTCATTCCATCACATTTATGCAAATCAGCACATCTATATTTTTCACTTCTGGAACTAATAAAAAGAACAGATCGATGGTTCTCAAAACTAAAGTTATATTAAAATTTTAAACTATTGTAATCTTATTCATATGCAGTTGAATAATTTCTTAAAAAATAATGTTATAAACAAAAACAATGAAATCTAATAATATTTGATGCTTTAAATAATCACACCCTAATATTTTTTCCATTAATGTTTATCTCAAGTGCACCTTATCGAGTGGGTCATCGGATAAAAATGGATCTTTTCATGTAACATGAGATTATGTAAAAAGATCTTAACTATCCAGATACAAATCAACGGAGATGAAAAATGCATTAAAATAAAAAGTGAGAAATAATAACCATTAATTTATACTTGAACGGATAATATCCTCTCACATAAGAGGATTCATTTCAATAATCAGATATATTTAAAACCATACAAAAGAGTTGATAATATTAAAAAAATATAAAAATTATTAATATAACTTCACCTAACAATTTAAGCTTTTGGATTAAATTGATTCTTTATTTGCAACTTGCGTATCTTGTTAGGTTCCTATGAATAATGTATTTATGAAAGTGAGCCTCCTTGTTGTCATGTGCAGATAAAACATTAATAATTTTTATTTTTTCAAGAATATTATATGAAATTGTAAGCCTTAGCAATCCTTGAAGGTAAGTATTGGATAACTTGATCTGACTCACACTTCTTGAATTAGTTAATAGAAAAGTATCTTGATCTGATATTTATATCAGATACTGTACATTGAAGAAGAGAAAGATATAGGCGGGAAATAAAGAAACTAAGTTAACTAACTCATAACAAATAACTACTAACAGACTGACTCATAACAGATAACTATCTATTAGATAATACCCCCCTCAAGGTGGGAGATGTATGTCTTTCATCCCCAACTTGGACAAGAGAGTATGAAATTGAGTTGGTGGCAGCGCTTAGTCATGATGTCAGCAATTTGAGCAGAGGAGCGAATGGGCATGAGATGCACAAGTCCTGAAGAGATACGTTCACGAATCACATGACAATCAATGTCAATGTGCTTACTCCTTTCATGAAACATAGGATTATGTGCAAGATGAATTGCAGACTGACTATTACAGAAAACAGAGATAGGTTTGAGCACAGGAAAATGGAGGTCCTTGAGTAAAAAAGAGATCCATTGAAGTTCACAAGAAAGACTAGCAAGTGCCCAATATTCTGCTTCTGATGATGAGCGACTCACTGTAGTTTGCTTTTTAGATCTCCAGGAAATAAGAGCAGAACCCAAAAAAATACATTGTCCAGAAACAAAGTGTCTAGTATCAATACAACATGCCCAATCTGCATCAGCAAAAGCAGTGGGTATGAACTGATTCTGAGATGGAAAAAAAATTCCTTTAGAAGGAGAACCTTTCAAATAACGAAGAATTCAGAGAGATGCTTGATAATGAATCTGCATAGGATTAGCCACAGATTGGCTAAGTTGTTGTACAACAAAATTTATATCTGGCCTAATTGTGGTAAGATAAAGAAGACGCCCAATGAATCTACGATACGCAGCTGGTTCATGATAAGGATCACCTTGAACCTTTTGTAACTTGAGATTTGAATCCATAGGAGTTTTGCAAGGTTTGGCTGCAAGGAGGCCAACATCAGATATCAATTCTAAAGCATATTTTCGTTGACTTATAAGAAGCCCAGATTTTGAACGAGCCACTTCTAATCCCAAGAAAAAATGTAATGGTCCCGAGTCCTTGATTTTGAATTGAGAATCAAGGTGTTGTTTAACTCGATTGATTTCTTCAAGACAATTTCCAGTAACTACTATATCATCAACATATATAAGCAGAGCAGTAAAGTTGGTACCAGCTCTTTTAATCATTAGTGAGTGATCAACAGAAGATTGAATAAATCCGAGTTGAAGAAGAGAAGTAACTAGTTTTGCATTCCATTGACGACTTGCCTATTTTAAACCATAGAGGGACTTTGTTAAAAGACAAACTTGATTTGATTTGGGACTGTTAAATCCAGGTGGAAGGGTCATATACACTTCTTCATGTAAATCTCCATGAAGAAATGCATTATTTACATCCAATTGCTCCATGAACCAACCTTGTGCAGTGGCAATTGCAAGAAGAACTCGAACTGTAGTTATTTTGACTACCGGAGAGAAAGTTTCAAGATAGTCAATCCCTTCAAGTTGTGTGTACCCTTTGGCTACAAACCTAGCCTTATATCCCTCTATAGTACCATCTGCCTCGTATTTAATTTTGTAGACCCATTTGCAACCAATTTGTTGTTTTCCATGAGGAAGAGTAACAAGTTTCCAGGTCTGATTTTGCTCTAGAGCAGATAATTCGTCATTCATAGCTTTCCTCCAACATTCAAGTTTAGAAGCCTGAGAGTAAGATTTGGGTTCTGTGTGGAAGCTAACATTTAAGCAGAATCTTTTATAAGAAAAAGAACACTTATTATAAGACAAGACAAAAGAAAGAGGATAAGGAGTTTTCATACCTGAAGTAGAAGATTGGATGTCAGTAGCAATTGTTAATAGAGAATAATGATAATCTGTCAAATACTTGGGTTGAGTTCTTACTCTTGTGGTTCTTCAAAGGGATTGATCTATAGAATTTTGTTGATCAAAATTTGTTGGCTGAGTTGAAGTATTTGGTACATCAAAAATGTTATCAGTATATGTTGGAATTGTGGAACAAGCTTGGATATCAGAACGTATGGAAATAGTTGACATATTCTGAGATAAAGGAAGGAAAGACTCAAAAGAGTCATCATTATAATGTGGTATAGGTTTTGGGATAATATTTGGATCTTTGGTGTAGGATTGAAGACGGTAATGATTTAAAAGGAAAACGGTCCTCATAAAAAATTATATTTCTTGAAACAAAAGTGGTATTAGTAGAGATATTTAATAGAAAAAATCCTTTGGTTCCTGTTTTATATCCAAGAAACACACTTTTGATAGCTCGTGGGGAGAATTTGGTGCAGTTATTGGTTAATGTTAAAGCAAAAGCAAGACACACAAAAACTTTAAGGAGTGTCAGGATTGGAGATTGGTTATGTAGTATTTCATATGGTGATTTATTTTTGAGTAATGGTGTGTTAAGTCTGTTCGTGATATGAACAACATGTGTCACTGCATAACACTAAAGTTTTGGTTGTAATTTGGCTTGGAGATAAAGGGCTCTAGCTATATTTAGAATGTGTTGGTGTTTCTTCTCAACTACCCCATTTTGTTGGGGACATTCTACATATGATTGCTGATGTATAATCCCTTTACTAAAGAAAAATTCAGCCATGGAAAATTCAACTCCATTATCACTTCTGATAATTTTAACAATAGATTGAAATTGTGTTTGAACAAAAGCAATGAAGTTTTTGATGTTTGTACGGGTTTAAAATTTATTTTGCATTAAGATAATCCATGTGAATATACTAAAATCATCCACTATGGTTAGGAAGTATCGATGGTTATGTATTGAAGAAATGGAATATGGTCCCCATATGTCAACATGAATGAGTTCAAAACATTTATTAGATTTGATAGAACTAAGAGTGTATGGTAATCTTTTCTATTTTGAAAGATGACATATATCACAAGGGTTTACATCTTTACAAGAAATGAAAGAAAAATGAGAATACATGGATTTAAGAACAGAATTTGAAGGATGTCCTAGTCGTAAATGCCAAAGGCTTCCTTGATCCACAACAGTATTATTGCAAGAGTTTGATTTGACATATCTTGAATCTCTATCTAGTTGAAAGATGTATAAACCATTCAACTGCTTAGCTGAACCAATCTTCTTCGAGGAAACCTGATTGATAGAACAAGTCAGACCTTGAAAAATAACAAAACAGCAAAGGTCTTGAAGAAGTTTGGTTATGGAAATTAAATTGACATGAAAATTGGGAACAAGAAGGACATTTTTCAGAATTATAGTATCAAATAAACGAACAGTGCCAGAATGATCAGCAACTGTTGTTAATCCATCAGGTAATGTGAATGATATAGGTTTAATTCTATGAAAAGAAGAAAATTGGGAGGTTGTGTAGGTGATATGGTCTGTGGCTCCAGTATCTAATATCCCAAATATAGATTTCTTACTTGATTTTTCATATTCTATATTGAATGCAGATGTTTGAACAATATTAGAGGCATGTACTTGATTTCCCTCTTTGGATTTTTGCAGCAAATTCATTAATTCTTGGTGCTGTTCTTTGGTGAAAATTGCTTCTGGGATGAATTCATAATGATCATTTGTTTCTTGTGAATCTTGAACAGTGAGGTTGGCCATATGTCCTTTTGTTCTGTAACCTGGAGGAAACCCATGTTTGAAATAACAACTCTCAATAGTATGGTTGGTTTTCTTGCAATGTGTACAAAATTTTGTGATAGTCCCACGTTCTCTTTCATAGCTACTTCGACCACGTCCTCTTCCTGCAAATTCACTTCTTGTTCTATTTTGCTCAACTGCATTAGCAAAACCTTGGGGCTCTACTTGATTATTAATTCCAACATCAAGATTCAATCTTCTTTCTTGCTGAATTACTAAAGAAAAGGCTTTATTTACACCAGGTAAAAGTTCAATAAGTATCATCTGGGATCTGACATGTGAGAATTGATCATTAAGTCCCTTCAAAAATTTGATTACACGGCTTCTTTCCCTCATGGATTTGACTTGGTTCACAAGACCACAAGCACAAGTTGGTTGGCATCTACACGATGGAATTGGTTCAAGACTGTCCATCTCATCCCACAAACTTTTTAATTGTGTAAAGTAATCTGCAACTAATGAATCTGCTTGTTGCAGCTTAAGAATATCATCTTCAAGATCAGAAATTCTGAAAACATCTGATTGAGAAAACCTTTCTTTCAAATCATTCCAAACATCAATTACTCTATCAGCCCATAATACTGACTCTGCAATTGATTCTGAAATAAATTTATGAATCCAAGAGAGAATCATGGTGTTGCATCTATCCCATGCAACGAACATTGGATCATCTGCATCAGGAATGTCAATTCTTCCATCTACAAATGCCAATTTATTTTTGGAACGCAAAGCCATCTTCATTGCTCTAAACCAAGTATGGTAATTTTGCCATTTAGATAGGGAGAAACAAGAACCAGAGATGGGTTCTCATTGGGATGAAGATAAAATGAATTGGTTGGGTTTGTCAAGAAATCAGGACGAGGAACTTGATTTGCCATTGTTGTGAACTTCAATGAACAAAAGAAATAAAGAAAGAAAAAGAAAGCTTCTGATCGATAATCAAAGCTCTGTATAGAGCTCTGATACCATATTGGATAACTTGATCTGAATCATACTTCTTGAATTAATTAATAGAAAAGTATCTTGATCTGATATTTATATCAGATACTGTACATTGAAGAAGAGAAAGATAAAGGCGGAAAATAAAGAAACTGAGTTAACTAACTCCTAACAAATAACTGCTAACAGAATGACTCATAAAAGATAACTATCTATTAGATAATAGTAAGCATCTACTTGTTAGATTTCTTGTTTTAAACAAAATGATGGTAGATCAATTGGTGTCAGAGAACTGAGTAGGTGGAGATGAGAATATGTGTTCATCCTTTCCAGTATCATCTTTGAAAGGAGTTAAAGCCTTAATCCTGAAACTCGTCCCGAATCAAATTCGCTAAACAATAAATCGATTAGAATATCTATAAAAAAATTCTTATTTTAAGGAATCACAAGTGTAAATAAAATTTGTTTAATCTTATTTTCTACATTGAAAGCTGATTATTATTCTTACCCAAAAGAAGAGAGAAATCTGAAAATTGAGGATCCCATTATACAGGGTAAGGTCTGGATGACCGAGGCCACCGATATCCTTGAAATGAAGGGATACTGACCAAAATGCCACTGTTCACCAACTTTTTTACCTAAATGCCACGTGAACAGTGTTATTTCCCACTCTGCCACGGGGGCAAGTTCGCTACCCGGTGTAGCGAACTCGGTTTGCTGACGTATCACATTTTTAATGGATAACAAGTATCAAATTAAAAAAAAATAAAAAAAAATGAAGTTCGCCTAGCATGTAGGCGAACTTGGTTAAAATTAAGTTGGTGTTCACTATAAACGTGACACGTCAGCAAACCGAGTTCGCTACACCGGGAAACGAACTTGCCCCCGTGACAGATTGGGAAATAATATTGTTCGCGTAGTATTTAGATGAAAAAGTTGATAAACAATAATATTTTAGTCACTGTTCCTGAAATGAATCTGTGTGTTCCCATCAAAAACCAAACCTAGCGTCGTTTTCCTATTTTTGGTAAGTTGACGTTGGTTGTACCTTATCTGGACAGCACTCTGCACCCAAAAAAAGAGAAGATATTTAGTTCTTTACATAGAATAAGTATGTATGTGTATAGTTTTGATCACTCAAAAGAAAAAGAAAAGTATCTATTTCTTTACCAAAAGAAGAGTATCTATTTTGTTTATTGAAAGAATAAGTTAATATAAATTAAATATGTAATATTAATTTTGTCCTCGAATAGCGATAGAGGTCCTAAAATTATTATTGGAAATTAAATTAATATCAACTTAACTTTTCAGAAATGAAAATAGTAATTTGCTATTACATAATTTACAAGAAAAATTTCAGTAGTTCTTTGTGGAAATATGGAAAAAAAATTCACTTTACTCTTTTCTTTTATTTATATTTTCATCTAAGTTCCAAATATTTGTGGTTCTGAACCATTAAGATTTTTCTCCATAATTTACATAGAAATACACGAGAACTAACAAAATGTGTAAATTTATCTAACATCATTATTCCACACTGAAATGGAATGTAATATTATAGATATGTAACATGTATTTGTTCAATTAATTTACAATATATATTTTCGAAATTAACTGTATGACTGTACAATTTTATTATATTAAGCTTGAAATTTAAATCGAGAAAGTTTATACTTTATTCTTCTTTCTTAAAAATTACGTGTCTTAAAATAAATAATATCAAGGAACATATTACTAAGTCTCAGGTTTAATTACTGGGTGAAATAATTTAAGATCAGTTATAAATTTTTTTTCGTGTTTTATCCCATGAAAGGGAATTTAATCTTATTTCAAATGGGTGATAACACTCTAAAAAAATAAATAATAATATTAGTTCTGTGGTCATACTTGAATTGAGAGCATATCAATTTTAATTTATAGAACTTGTCCAAACCCAATTAGGTTTGAAACAAATTATTATACTACTATTAAATAAATTAATGCGGAAGCACCTACTACTATTGTATTAAAGTGGAAAGAGGAAAGAGGAGAATAAAATAATAGTAATAAAATGAAAAGTTTGACAAAACGACAGGATAAGTTGTTGATGAAGGACTTTCCATGAAAGGAAGAGGAGCATCCACGTCTCCCAAGGCTTAAACCTCGTACATCTTGCCGACAACGTACCCATCGAAAAGCAAAACAAAAACACTTTACTCAATCATACTCCTTTTTTTTTTATTTACATTTTTTATTCCTAAATGACAGTAGAATAATATTCGTACACGCAACTTGTAACGCCTAGTTGCCATTAAACATGCATTTTTTTTTCCCCTCATGGAAACCCAGTATCTGTTCAAAAAATATTTGTACATAAAATTGAACTGAACTGAATTAAATAACCTAAACGAATCAAACCCAACGTAATCGAATCGAAATAATTATTTTTTTAAACTAATTTTAAGGACCAAACTCATATTATAAAGGGAAATAATAATTTTATGTTGCATAAAATTATTATCTTATACAATAAATTTTTTTTATTAGAGTCCACAACTTAAAAAAAAAGAGATTAGCATTATTATCAAAGTGTTTAAAGAAAGTGATACTTATCTCTTATGAAAGGAGAAAAATATTGTCCTGATATAAATCAATTTAAAAAATTGAACTGAACTAAAACAATCGGTTTGAAAAACTTGTTTAAAACTAATATATATATCATCCGAACTGAATTTAAAACATAAATCGATTCCAAATTAATTTTGAAAAGGTTCGAAAAAACTAAAAGTGGTTAAAATTAAATTAAATAGTTCGGTTCATTGAACCGGTTTTACTATTTTAATTTAATTTTAGGGGAAAAAAAACCGGTTCAAGTCACCATGCACTCCCTTATTTTCAACCCTTCGTACATAAATTTAAGGAGATGAGAAAAAAAAAGATTAAGCTAGTGAGTTAAAAAATAAATTGTTAATTAATTTATAAAAAAAATGAAACCAAGCAAATCAAGTTGTAATAACAAAAGTAAGAAATAATGAATAACGTCAAATTCAGAGTAAGATGCACGGAGATGTTTTGAAAATCATTAAATTAAATAGTTAATTATTAAAATTGCTTCCTAGAGTATACCAATGTTAAGTTTACTCTTAGGGAGAGATTTTTGGGATATCCAAGTGTGATAAGTCTCACGTTTATTGATAATGAGCTAAGTGAAATAAATATAAGTGAGAGGACCCATAAATTAAATGTCTTAAGGTTTTTGGTTGATATATGTTGTCGGACTCACTTAATATGATGGATTAGCCTTAGTCCGTTGATGGTGGGTCCCTTGCCACAAGCTCCTCTCTGGAGCTGCCTGACTCTGGTATCAAAGCCTTGATGTTACAAATTGGTATAGGTAGACTGAGTCATGTTGTGATGCATCATCCAACCTGCAACAGGAGATGTTTGAGTTTTTGGGCAAACACAATAAATGACGGGGTCTATATTTAAAAATAAAATAAAATTGAAGCACATATTTTGATATTTTACTAGTAGGAGACCATATTTCTCTTGTGAAAAGAAAAATATAAAACCCGTATATCTATGGGGAATGATTTGTTTATAAATATTTTTTACAAAATACACTAAATATGACCGGTCATACACTCTTGATTGAAGTATGACCGGTCATACTTAGTGTATTTTGTAAATAAAAAATTTGTAAATATAATTTTTCCCTACATCTATATTCAAAACTTGACAGGAAAAGTTTTGCTGTTTTTATGATCTTAGCCGACTATCTTAGCCGACTCAACTGAATTAGTCCATTAATCAATGAATTAGTGAATAAATCTAAAAAAAAAAATCATGTATATCACATGTCTTACCCAAAAACCCGTGTTACGTTAATATTTATATCGTTTGTCAAGAATTGCATACAAAATGGGACTTATATAACTTCCCAAGTACGAACATGAGTTTCTTATGTGAGTTATTCACATGACAATTACATAAAAAAAAGAGAGAAGCATAGATTTTTTAAGTAAGTTTATAAATTTTGATAAAATCCTGTTAGTTAAAGAGTTTGGTGTTTGTCATTTTAAATGATATAGAGTTGTGTCATTTTAATTGAGAAGAAGACAAAAGCAATGAAATCATGAGAGAGAAAATGAGTATTTTTTTAATTTAAATTTTAAATAAAAAATACTAATTTTTGTGTTTCTCTCACTAAAAATGACATAATTATATGTTTTTTCAAAATATAAATATTTTTTTCTTATTTAAAATCATTTATTTATTTATTTTATATTACCATAAATGTTACATAAAAAAATTCACTTGAAAATGATTTATATATCAGTTAATAAACAATCCTACGCTATTAACGTTAGTGTGGTCATCACTCATCACACTAGTAAAATACCCACACACAAAAAACATATTTATTGCAAATATACTAACTAATAATCAGGCACGCTTTCTCCAATAAAGTTCAACTCAACTAACGCCAATATGCAGAGATAGTTGACAGCTCTATAATATAATGAGTGAGTGGTAGGGCATATTGGTAATCACATCATTTTCACTAACTTTGCCAAGCTAAACTTTATTTTTTATTTTTTTATAAAAAAGTCGTATTACTATATACGATAAAATTTTACCGAATGAGGTTTTCTCATCTAAATCCAATGAATTTAATATTGAATCCCACTTAAATAACTGTATATGCAGATTATTCAATCAACGGTATCACAGTGTCACATTCTCACCCTAAATTTTTTATTTAAAAATATTTATTCACAACACTAACAGAACAATTGACGAAGATAAAATAACCAAGGAGT